ATACTTTAAAAATAATAAAAAAACTGATTGTAGCAGTTTTAATTGTACTGTTTATGACATTTATCAAGTATACACTGTATCTTACCTTGCATAAGAATAAAACTTTCTTTCTGCCGCACATCCTATTACAGGTTGTGGTTGAATGTAGGAAGCCCAAACACGTTCTGTGGGAGCCATACTGGTTGTATCACATTGAGCAATGGTTTCACCATCTATGGAATTAAAAAGTAACATGAGTTTCTATTTTAGAAAATAATATAGAATTAAATTATCAACAGTTCAAATATTCTGATCAGAGTAACAATCTTAAAATTGTTTAAAAAATTCTTACTTGTTCCCACAGTTAATGTGACAGTATTAGCCACAGATATCCTTGATAGGGATGTTACAGAACCGTACTGTTGCTGTACCCATCCTAGTAATCTTCTGAGAGGTAGTTGTGGTTTTCTATTAGTAGATAACTTTAACGGTGCACTCGAAACTAATTGAGAAGGCTCGGTCACCTGAAATTTCATAATTGTGGATTTTTATATTTTTGGTAGAATTTCATACTCAAAAAGATTAAGATTAAGATACTCACCACAACAACAAGTCTTGAGGAACTTGAAATTCTTTCAACGAACAATTGCCACATGACAGGATTTGTGGCATGTAACACAACTACAAGTGGTCCCGCGTGGGTGCTGTGTTGTTGTTGTGGTTTGATTAATAAGGACACTGTCGGCAAATAGTCAGTCAGGGAAGTTAGGTTATAACCCGAACTACCCAAACTGATCACATGAATTTCCTGTAAAACAGAAATTCATTTCATTAATTACTTATAATGAGCATATAAATTTTTTTACAAATGTTAACTGATATTATAACAGAAAGAAGATATTAATTTCAAATTAAAATTGATCAGGAAACCAGAACAATGAGATTGTATTCTAGAAAAATTGTCCTTCCATAATTAAATTCATTTTCAAATTCAAGAAAAAGTTAATGAAAATGGCAAAGAAACTTATTTTGTTTAATAATGTTATAAAATTATACAAAATACTAATGGATCCAAAATATTGTGCTATTTCAAAGACCCTTAAAAACAATTTATCGCCATTTCAATTGAATGCATTTGTGTATAAATTGGATTAAAGTAATTTATACTCTCATTTCTACTAAGGTGAACTGAAATGTTTCATTAATTTCAAATATCAGTTGATATTTCTGAAGTGGTTATTACACAGTTTCAAATGACCAAATGATGTGTTCAGAAAAAAACTTTGAAAACATTTTAAGAATACTTGATAAAAAGGTATCATTTCTATCATTCAAACAGTTCTTTTTACACAAAGCGAATGTGTACACGATTAATATGATTTACCAATTTGAATTATTTTCTGCCGATCCATACCAATTTACATCATTTGGTATCATTTGCCATTCAACAATGATTTCTAATGATGTTTTTACTAGGCTTGTTTCTGTATAATTGCCCATCTTTGAGGCAATTATCAGGCAAGAATGCCTTATCAGCAAACAAAGAGTTAAAGATCGGTGCTAGGAAATGACACCCAAATTAAACTTTTATAAAAGGGGCGATAAATATGTTAATTTTTACATCTTAATTTAAAATTTTATTTATATTTATGATAATATACAAGATGAATTATCTGGCGGTCGATCTAATCAATGATTGATGATTCACCGCTCAGGATGATTCACAGTGGAAGTGAAAAACCCAGGGGTACCGATGAATAAAAGCGGTTGTACTTTTAAAAATTATACGTTTTTTTAAACAAAAAAGTATTTCGTGTGTACAAGAAGCCATGGAGTAACTAGAACTGTAAGTATTTAACAGTTCTAGTTACTCCACGTCTTGTATATTATATAAAAGAGCCCAAGTAGGATGAGATCTTGGAGCTTCCTGTTTCGGTTCACAGATGGCGCAACGGTCTTGTCTGGGAGCGAAGTGACAGAGGACGTAACAATGGATCTTTAATTGCATCATCCATCGAAGTAAATGATTTCTTACGAAACCAGAATCAAATAATTGCTATATTTTTCTACTGAATAGAAACGTATTTGTAAATAATTATATATAATAACGGGTGTATTTTTTATATAATACATATAAAAATTTTTAATACATAATTATGGGTGTGTTGCTGAAAATACAAGTATTCTTGTCTCTTTTGTGGTGATTATATAAGAGAAAAATCGTCCCTTTTTTTCTTTTAAATTTAGCGAGTTTTGTGAGCCACATTCAAAATTTTAGATCCGCATTTATTATTTCGAAGAGAGGATAAGGATAAATGTGCAGAATCTTGCGAATTAAAATTCGCAATTTGAAATTATAATGCTCACTGAATACAGTCGAATGCTCACTGAATACCCTCTATAACACTGTTGATTTTTTCGTTTTATATGAATTCTATGTTGTACGAGTTACTTAGATCTTACAAATACGTGAGCCATTCACAGCCCGGCACACGTATTTGTAAAATCTAAGTGACTCTTACAACATGGAATTCATATAACACGGAATTATCTACAGTGTTATAGGGGGGGTCTACTTGTATATCAAATATTGAACAAACTTGAAAAAAATCATTCTCTGATGGTAAATGTGGTGAAGATATCGCTGCTTTGCTTTGTTAATGTCATAATTAAAAACAAAAATTTGTTAATTTTAGAAGGGAAGCATTTAAAACTAATTGACTAATAACTGAATACAAGTTGATGAACTTTGATGGGAATCAAATGGAGGTAGAAGTCTGCCATTTTACATGATAAAAGCAAAATCTTTTTTTAGTTGTGCCACTATCAAAGCAAAGCATCGATATCGGTTCTTCAAAGTAAAAAGTCTCAATGTTTTTCACCGTCGTGCTTGGAATTACTTCGAATTATCATAAATATCATTAAAACTATAATAATGTTTACGATAATTCTCCACAAATTATTTCTCTTTAATCATTGAAACCATCAATGATTAATGTTTATTTCTCCAAATTGTACATTTCGGCGAAATTTGTGACAAAATGCTTAACTTTGCAACTATTTTTTAAATTTATTTTAAAATGGGATGCATAAAACCTCGTTATTCTGACTCCTTTAATCAGTATTCAGTATGCAAAAAAATTCGGATCGAATGCTAACAAAGTTTTTTGTTGATTATTAATTCATTAATGAGCGTAATTAGCATTTGAATCAGATTCTAAAAGATGATTTACAAAAAGATAAATCAATAAAACTAGATTCAAATCTACACTAATTCTATAAACTCCTGATAAAAACTTTGCTAAGCAACATAGGGAAACAAGGGAACAAAGCATCAGTTTTTCCTTTGTGAAATGGGCCTCCAGAAAGCCATTGATGGTTATACAAAAAAAAGAGGGCTTTAAAGGAATCCAAAATAGTTATAAACTGTTCTACAGTGAGAAAATTCTCTTATTTTCTGTGCATAATTTGAATATTTAAATGTACTTCGTATGGTTTCATCTGCTACGAAACCATGCAATTCTGTAATTTCTTTCTAAGTGAATCATTGAATTGAATATTCATAGCATTGATTTAGTTACATCCAAACTGTATTGTAGCAGTTACAATTTCCTTGATTTGAATGGCTTTAACCATAAATTTCCATAATATTAGCCATAAATTAGCCACAACTTCCATAAATTACACAACTTACCTGAGAAGTTGAAGTGATATCCTGGCTACTGCATCCAGTCACTATCGCAACTTGATCCAGAATGGGTGTGACATAAGGAGATTGGAACTGACGTTTAACAACGCAACTGGATGTGAATCCATCGTCTATAAATATATAAATCTTTTTTAGAATTTGAAGCATAAATTCTGCATTGTTCTAAAAAAAAACCTGTTGAACTGATACATCAGGTGAAGTTATGCGAGTTGGGAGTGACGTCCTTGATCCCCAATCGAAGGGGGGTACAAGGAGGAGAGGATAGGGTTGAGTTAACCCTTCCCTCTCGACACGGAAGGGAAGGGTTAAATCATTCAATTGACTCGTGACGCACGTGACTCCTATGGGGCAGCACACGAAAGGGTTAAATAGACGATTCGGGAGAATGCGGAAATACTCTTTGACATCTTTTTTTTTGTGTATCAATAAGAATTTCCATCTAAAAAAATCTTTACAGACCTTTTTTAATGTGATAATTCCTATTGACCACTTTTTACTAGAAAATTCGACTTTTAGATATATCAACGACCATTTTTTTTACCTAATTTTTATGTCTAAAAGTTTTGATTTTTGAGTTCGTAAATTACTTTTTAGATAGGAATTCATCAATTAGATATTATAGATTTTTAGGTGATGATTTTTTATTATAAAGAAAAAACACCATCTAAAAACTTTTGCTTAATATTAAATATATGATTATAAACATAAAGAAACATTTAAAATGTAAACAGCTGGCTGAATGATTGCCTTTAACATCTGGTCCCAGGATGAATCACTAAGCAACTAATCTTTTATACTTTCTTCACACCTCCCATCATTAGTATCCTACCTCGATAAAGCGTTTATATATATCTAAATTGAAATTTTGATGCGTAATTTCGAGGATTTTTCGAATTAAGTAATTGTGAACACCAAATAATAGGTTTCTTTGTGATGAGTCATAGCCGCTTGTAAAGTTCATTCGAGCCAATTATACCAATATCGATTTACAAAATTTCATCAATTGGTGACTAATACAGATTTTAAATATATTTTAATTAATTTAAAATTGAGTTTATGGAATTAATTGAAACTACGATTTAAATATATCCATTTAATTCAATAGAGATCGTAGAATTTTATGCAAAGAGTACATTGAGGCTTGGCTTATATATGTGGATCAAGCATCGATTTTGTGTCGATGCTTGATCCACATTTGAATCATTCCAGCTGAAGTTTGATCCATAGCTCTAATGAAGAAAATAAAGAAGGGTGTAGAAGAAATACTACAGTTTAACGTGTAGACTAATTTCCGAACACGAAAACAATCCGATGGCGTGGAAAGCACCACTAAGTTTATTTATATCCAAAAAAGATTTGTGTTTTACGAGTGTATAAGGAAATCGAGCAAAACCAGATGTTCACTTCTCCTCGCTTCCTGAGCAAAAAATAAAATTAAAAAAAAAAGCAGCACAAGAAAGGCAACCTGCTCGATCGTCATGGCAACAATAAGGGATAAAATCGACTCGATCCGTTTCACACAAACTCCCATCTGTTACCTCATCGTCGACGTCCATCTGGTTCCCACCCATCAGTGAGGGGTTCGGAAGAGAATAAAAAACCCTCACAAAAAAAGCACGTCCCCTATTGGTAGGGGAAGAGCTCCTGTTAGCCCCTGGGGAAACTAAGGGATAGAGAGGAAGAGTGGGGAGTGTGCACACAAAAAAATGACCTAATCTCCTAGCCAGGTGATTTTATGCAGTCCCCCTCGGGGTTTCGGGGTTTGGACCGTGAGAAAGGAAAAAAATACATCGGGGGATCAAAAAACGAGGGAAGGACCTATAGAAGCATTTTTTTTTTAACTCCCCTCCCCGGGTCCTGGATTTAAAACATTATATAGCTATTGTTATACTATGACCTATCACAGCTGTTACTGTTCGCCTTCGTTAAATATTCCAAAGAAAAAACTAGTAATATAACACGTTAAAATCACTAATTTCGGGTCTTGTTAATTGCAATTAACAAGCAAATCGTGAACATTTTTGGTAGTGACATTTTCGAAAGCGATTAAAGTAGCGTTATGTTTCACTGTCTTGTTATCATTTAACAAGGATATGAAGATAACAGTGATGAATGCTGTTGAAGTGATTATCGATGTGATGATTCTAAGTTCAAGACAAAGGAGGATAAAAAAAAAATCACTTAATTCTGCTCATGAGGACCATTAAACGGAACTAAAATGATTACTTCTTATCGCTAAAGATCTTAATCAGATTATATTCTAAAAATACTACAAATGATAACCAGCAGCTTGTCGATTTTTTGAAATCAAAGATAATCTACAACGTAACAATATATAGATTTTATGTGTATTTATACACATAGCGTCTTCTGAAAATTATTGAGGAACATAAAATCAAAGCCATAGCTCAATTTTATATATTTTTAGAAGAGATAAAAGCTTTATTTTTAAAGAAATTGATAAATTTAAAGGGAACTGCCGGATGGTTGGTTTCTATCATTATAACCTAGGTCGATGCAGGGAGGGAGAATTAGGGAGTCGACCAGGAGACGAGGGGTGTCGAGTATTGATCTCCTCGACCCTCATCTTGTGACCGAGTTCCCTCCAGCTCTACGAAAACCAAATCAACCGAAACACCCAACGTCCTCCCTTACTTTGACTAAATCCATCCATTCGTTTACTAGTTACTACCCATCTAGACATTGTAGTAGTAGTTACTACTACAGTAATATAACACAATAGTTTACTAAAAGGGAAACTGTTTATGTATATATTGAGCTATTGATGTATCCAAAAAGACACCAAAATTACAAAGTTAGAGATAAAAAATGATGAATTTTCTGATAAAATTCCAAAAAGTACAGGGTTTTTTTTAACAGAAAATTCGAATTTACAACTGTTTATAACTTAAATTTCGTTTATATCTTATAATTGATTAGAGCTTGGATTACGTTACAGATCGTCATTGTTTATCCATTTCTATCGAGATTCTGAGTCACCAATCAACGAAACTTCTTGGCAAACTAATAAATATGATTCTGTTGTAAATTTTTCAAATGATCTATAAGTAAATTTAAAACGAATTCATAAAAATAGCCAGATAAAAATATTGTAAGTCGGAATTCTGAATCACCAAATCGATTTTTCTACTTGAAACCGGAACATTTCACTCTCTAAGCATGACACTATAAGCACTATCTCGAGCCATAAGTACCATAAAAATCAATTTCTATCCCAATCAAATTATTACCACGTTTAATCAAAATCAGCATAAAAAAATGTCCGATTTTATAAATAAATAAATCAAAGTCCTTAATTACGATTAAAAATAAATATAATTATCCACTTAAAAGACATTTAATCCGTGCAGGAGTTCATAAATGAAGTCATTCTACTGTCACTTGTCAATCCTCCATTATTTGTTTACACTACGTGCCCACTCATTAAGAAAAAACGAAATGAAAAAAAGGCCTGCCTCGAGGGAGAAGTATTCAAGTGAGTGGAATGCAGATAACCTGTTAACCCTTTATCGCAGGGAGCTTAACCCTTTCGTTTCCCTACCCAACTGGAGGGAGGAATACAATGCGTCAACCCTTTGCCTACTAAAACTTCCGCATTCAGTCAGGACTCAGCTGATCCTATTCATTAAGTTGTGGTATGTCGATCAGGAATACACTCAATTGTATATTTCTTTGTTTTCTCTGGGGGGAAAAAAAGATCCTTAAAGGATCGTTTACGGATTTTTAGACAGAACAACACTAAAAAATTTCTGATTTACGTACATTTAACATCGAAGATACAATATTTTCTGATAATTTTTGTATTTTTAACACAAAGAAGAGATTCTTGTAAGAGGGAAAAAACAGATTATTTTCTTTGTTGTTAGCAATTTGGGGGGGTTTTAAGTGACGTCAGTGATACAATAATAACGATTAGTTATATTCAGCAATGATTCATCCCGACTTTCGGACATGATTAACGCTCAGGGGTCGTGTTCTGTGCTGATGACTATAGATTGAACGTGGCGATGATCGATGAAAATTCGTTTTGACTTTAGAATTTTATTTCTTTTAACGTACACAAATTTTATACATTTTATTCCTGTTATAATTTTTAATTCAGTCAAAAAATAATTAATCTTTTAAAAACCCTGATTACTTTTTTGCGCCTGACCATACGTTTTTCTTTTATAAATTTCCTACTTTTGAGGAATAGTGTTAATAATGTCGATCTTTGGGTAATTTTATGACATTTCTTGCCCATTAGAATATAATGCCTTGGTGCAATGTATTTTATATTTAAGTGAATTGGAGCATGGCGCTAACTCCAAGAGCACGGTGTTAACAGTTAAAAGCATGGTTAAACAGCGTAAATGATTGTCATTCGTTGTTGATTTTTATGACATTTCTTGCCTATTAGAGCATAATTAATGCCCTTATAAAAATATATTTTGTAGTTAAACGAATTAAAACGTAGTATCAAAAGTCGAGAACACGGTAGACCACGCTCTTATCTTTGTCTTAAAGCGTTAAAAATCGTCCAAAAAATGACAGTTATTATGATATTTCTTGCCATTAGATCATAATTACTGCCCTCGTACAATATAGTTTATAGTTAAATGAATTAGTGCATAGTTTAACTTCAAGAACTTAAGTGTTAAAACAGTTAAATTGTATAATTTTTACGGAATTTCTTTCCCGTTAGAGCAAAATTAATGCTCTTATGCAATATATTTTGTAATTAAATAAACAATACAAGGTGCTAACCTTAGAAACCATTTTTCTAGTTAAGAACATGTTGTTGTTCCTAATGCGTGAAGATTATCTTTCAACGGATCGACCAGAAGAAATGAGTAAGTGATAAAATGGTTAATTGTATTGAAAGAGGAGCAGCTGGGCCAACTGACCAGTTTGAACGCAATCCCCTTTTCAAGAATGGGAACACAGCAGAGGATCTGACTAGTGATTCATACCCGGGCCCCGAGAGGCCTCGGAAAAGGGAAAAACCGGGGAACGGAAACAACAAATTCGTCACCAAATTTCGACATTTTACAGAAATTTGCTCCAATTCTCATCTTAAAAAAAACACCAAACAAATAAACACTTGAAGAATACTTTCCAAGAAAACTCATTTCCATAGAAACACACACGAAATTCTAATTAGTTTCTAATGATGAAACATTATTAACTAATTAGCTGTAACGAGAAACACAATTCATGTTTCGTTTGATTTTTATCCAGGAAAACTTAAATATCACGAATAACTAATTATGTAAAAATGGAAATTAAATTAGAAATTTATACACGAACGAAATTATTAATAAGAAATGACTGAAAATAAAATTATATTTTTGTGAAATTTAAGAAGAAAACTTTTAGAAAAACGCGTGAAATTGTGATTATTTCGTAAAAGTGGGTCAGATTTAGTACAAAGTAATTGATTCACCAGCTTTACACCACTGTAAACAAAGTACAGAATTTCATGTGGAGAGTGAAATTTCTTAGAAAAATAATAAATAAATTTCATTTAAAGTGAAATAAATTCATTTCTATTAAACCAAATATTTAATAATATATATATTAAAATATTTATAAATAATACAATTATATAAATCATTTGTTTTTAATTATTAATAAAAACATGTTTAATTATTTAATAAAATAATTTTTTGGAAGATTTTCTGATGTTATATTTTTTAAAAAAATGGTCTTTTTAGTGGATAATCATTAAAAAAAAGTATTCTTATGATGATTTTTAAAATAATATCAGAAAAAACAACATTAAAACCCATTTTTTAGTCACTTGTAACTAAATATTCAACCGAAAAATAATTAATTTTAGTCAATTCGAGAGAACACGGAGGAAAAAAAAAATGAGGGGGAAGACCCAAAAAAAATCGAATTTCCAAAAAAGAAAATCGGGAAATAACTAACCAGTAGCCACGTGACTCGTTTCCCTGACAACGGATGCAGCTCGCGATATTGAACTTATCCATCGTGAAGCCATTACCATGGCAACCTAAGCCAAGCCATTCAGACAATAATAAATTCTCCCTCGCGCGCTCCCCACCATCACCCGTTTTTGCGTATTTGTTAAAAAAGAAAGACATTAGTTTCGTGTGTTAAAAAAAAAAAAAAAAAAAAAGTAGTGTTTTACGTAATTTAAAACTTACCAATAAGTCCCGTTAACGTCACAGCCGCAATCCGGGAAAGGAACGTTACCAAAACTGCTAAGTACGTGGCCATAATTTCCACCAGAAGGTCATGACCACCTTCACAGAAACTCAATTGTCTCTATGAAAGGTATACACCGACCTAAACATTAAAAAAAATACACATGTAAGTGATTTACACGTCATAAATTATATATTAATTCAATTATCTTCTAAAAAAAGCACCTTAGAAATCATTAGAAAAAACATTTAAAAGAGACTTTTTAATGTTTTAAATCTATAACACGAGGTTTTTTATGGATTTGATTTTTTTAAAATATGATTGTTCACTTGGAAATAAATCAGGAAAATCCATTTTTATTATAAATCTGTAAATCATAAACCTGAAAATCTAAAATAAAATAATTATAGATTCATTGTAAAGCTGGAAATAGAGTAAGAAGAGCATGGAAGTAATGCTTTGTGTAGTGAACATGGAAGTAAATGTTTTTGTGTTGAGAGCATGGAAGTGAGTGTCGTGTGTGGAGAATGTAGAAATGTTTCTTGGAGAGAAACACAGGAATGAATGTTTCGTGTTGATAAACGAAGTAAATAAATACTTCCATCTAAGAACATGGAAGTAAATCTTTTGTATTATAAATTAAATAGTGTAAGAGTATACATTTCCAGCACTCTTCACCAACTATTCTTGATTCTTGGGTGAGAAAAAAAGCGAAAATTTAAGGGTTTTTTTTTAAAATTCAGGAATAAAATTTTAAAGTTACTTTTTTTGGATGGTAGTAGCTCCGATTTTTTTTTTTTTTTTTTTTTTTCCTTTCAGTGCAATGAACAGTGAGGGACGTTTTGGGGACAATATCCCGACCCCAAGGGGAAAATGGGAGGGCTAAGCACTATCTCGAGCCATAAGTACCATAAAAATCAATTTCTATCCCAATCAAATTATTACCACGTTTAATCAAAATCAGCATAAAAAAATGTCCGANTTCTTTTTTTGTCTGAAACGAAGATAATTTATCAAATTTTAAATTATTATTATAAACAATGCAAGATAGAAAATTGGCAGTGTGGTCTACAGTCTTATTCGTTTACTATAAATAACTAAAAACAAAAGTAGATCACATGTTCCACCAACACGAGTACTTACTTCCAAGCAGAGTTCATGCTAAACAGAACAGACGAAGTTTGTGTTTTACCTTATTTTCATGGCTTTTGTATAATATATGCGTAAATACAGGATTTAAACATAAGCTAAACAAGCTACAGTTTAGTCTTTACAATATTAGACTATTGTTTATGATCACAGTAGTTTAAATCCAGCTCAATATACACATATTTTTCATAGATGTTATACATGCAATACATATTTTCATGTGAAAAAAAATCAATGTTTTCAATGCTATAAAAACATTCGACATACGGGAAAGTAGTGTGAGATTTATCTTAATGTCGTGCCAACCACAATACCGGAAATGTCAAACAAAACTGATTGTTCTGCTCATTTCTTTTTCTGGTTTACGTTATAGAAATTGCTCATTTTCTGTAACATAATCCAGAAAAAGATTTTAATTTTATTTTTTTAGATTTTTTTTTCAATATTTTATTGCAAGAAATGTTTTTGTAAGAATAATTTATATTATTTTTCTATTAATTTTTTTTTAATTTTTTATCAAAAATTTCTAATTTTTATTTTTTTTCTCATAATTATAATGATATTTCCATACTTTTTCTGCACATTTTACAATGAAAATTTTATAAATTTAATAAAATCTTATACTCAAATCTACATTTTACTATTCGATTTATATATTATAATATATAAATTAAACAATTTTAATATATTTATATAAAAAATAATTTTGTAAATGATTTTTCTTTTAAAAATTACAAGTAAAGAAATCAGAATATCACAGTTTCGTATTGCAAAATGATTTCACGATTTTATTATTTTAAAAATAATTATTTCTGCCAATCGCAAACGTGTTCTTCGGTTACAGATTTAACAGTTTCTCTTTCCCCAATACTTGGCACGCGGGTAACATTGGTATTAACAGTTCGTGAATTCTGAGAATCCAAATTCTTGGCTGCGGAATATTCAGAAAATGAATAATTGGAATGATTTCTCCTGCTTATGACAGGAATAACCTCTAAGTATTCCGATGTTGATCTCTCCTGCGCCACACGTGACATTGGCATGCTGGAAATTGATTCTTCTCCATCAGAATGGTTGAAGTTAACGTCTATTTCTGTCAAAGAGCGAATGGAATTGGCTCTCGAAGATGGTACAGGTGAATGATGGACGTTTCTCCATTCGTTACGATCGCAAGAATTAAGAATTCGTATGATGACACTCCATTTTTCTGGATTGTACATGTGAGAATAACACGAATCCTTCGTTAAAATGTCCATATCGCGATTGGTCGTAGCTTCTTGTATCAATTGACGAAATCGACCGTCGTCGACTATTTTATCTTTCAATAATTCTTTATCCTTTTCTGTTAACAAATCCATACCTTCGATCGTTTTTGGGGAATTTAAAATGCGAAACATAACATTCCATTGACTAGGATGGGGATTGGTTTTGTCGTAAACTTTTCTTGTATTGATAGTTTCTTCGGTAAGTGTAGTTTTCGACGTTTTGGTAATAAAGAAATCATCGTAATTTCTCACTTCAATTTTCGATGCGTGATTCGGATACGTCGGTTGAACGAATTTCCTTTGAATATCTGCATAAACTGGTTCGGAATCTAAGTGATAATCGCTTCCTCTCGTATCTAAATCATCTAAAGAACTCAAAGATGATGGAGTTTCGCTTGGATAATCTGAAGTACTGGCATCACTTTTGTTGGCACTTGAAGCGAGAAGAATTGCTTCGGATCCTGCTNCTGGCAGGAGTTAATTCACAACACGCTCTAATTCACCCATCAAACTCTGACGGGCGAACTGGTCGCGCATGCGCGACTTGGATTGTGTGAATCCATTCGAACCTACACCTCAAATTCAAGCTTTAAACGACATGATCGAATGGATTTCTACGTCTAACGGATATCGAACGTCTTTATAGAAACTGACTGGAACCTGAAGCAGAGCCCAGAAGGGGTTCGAAAACGTTTGTTTACCGATCTTTTGCATGATTGCACCATAAATGGTTCAGGTGTGTAAATTTTTTTAGTCATTCCGGTGTGATAAATAGTAAATTTATTCAGCACTTGATAATCTGAAATGCAGGATAATATCAATAATCTAATTATAGTGCAAACACACAAAAAAAATACATATATAAAAGCAACATTTTCGTGTGTTCGATAAATGAAGTACTGTATAATGTGCAAAATAAATGAAAAATTTACCTTACCATTTTAACAACAGGTCTTGTTGGTTGTTATTTTTAGATGTTATTGTTGGACGTTATTATTCCAGTAGTATATAAATGTTCCTTCTGTCCCAACAATTTTAAGGTCTTTAAAATTAAAAAAATTTAATTAAAATCAATAGTTTGAAAACTTTTTTTTGTTGAAGATTTTGTTTCTCAATTGGTAGATAACGATCTATCGAATGGAAAGCAAAATCCCCCATTATCAAGTAAGAAATAACGAGGAAGACGACCGGGGTTCGCGATCTACCGGTCAATTTAATGATCCTTCATACAGCAAAGAAGAGGTTCTCCAACTTTATTGTAAGAGGCGCAAAAAATTAATTAATTAGAATTGGAAAAAACAAAATTTACCTGTTTCGTTCCGCATCCTTTCAACGGTATCCTCATTTCATAATATTTTTTTCCATCTCCATAGAAACGACAAGGACTAAACCTATCATTTGCGTATGCCACCCCGTGATATGGTTCAGTAAAATTAATCTTTACAACCATATCTCCCGATTCACACGAAAGATATGCTAAAAAATAAATAATATTATCTCTTAGAAAGCTGTCGAACATTTTTCCTTTTTTTAAAAACATAACTTTCCATTAAAAACTATTGTGTAAGAATGAAGTGAAGAGTAGATACTACAAATTGAAACATGAAAAAAATTAAAATACAAAATTGACACTAGATGGCGACACTTCCGAAATAATTTATTTTATTTTATTTCATGATGTAATTTTCTTAAAAAATAAGCAAAAAATTAATATTCTAGAAATATTTTTTTGGCAATTTTTTGATAATAAATATTTTAAAATAAATTTTTAAAAATACTTTTATATTTTCTTTTAAGTTTTTATCAACTGCCATCCTTTGACAGGATGGTAGCTTTATCGATAGTGCTTCCATCTGATGTCAATTTTTTGTACTTACGAAAAATATTGACTGGAAAATTTAACGATTAGACGATAAACTTTGTATAATTAATTACTTTATTAATTAACATTAAATTTTAAACAATATTTAAAAAAAACTGTTTATAAATGTACAAATTAAATTTATCATGGATAAAGAATACCTTTGCCGTAAAGGATCTAAAAAAATTAAATGAATTTAAATTTTTTCTAAATATAATATCGTATTAAAGCATTAAAATATAATAAATTATTTACTTAAACGTCTAAAATATTTCCTATACGTATCCAACTTTTATAAATTTTTAATTTTATAATTTAAAAAAATTTAACTGTAATGCATGTGAGAGTAAAGAAAAACCATTTTTTTACATACGTTATAGATGATCGTTATCTATAAATATGCTTGCAATGCAAACATATAGGAAGGGGGAAACAAATTTTAGATGCGTTATAGTGAATCAGTACCTAAAAATTCAGCTTTAATGTATAGAAAAACATTGATTTTTCTGTAACGCATCTGAAAAAGGAGGAGAAATATAGCAAAGTATACAACTGTAACGCATCTAAAAGTCGAAAAAAAAGACTTTTTATATACATTACAGATAATTAATATTTCAAATTACATATACAGTATAAAGCATTTAAAAACACAAATTTTTCTCTATATTTTTAAATGCATTGAAGCAAAAATTGGCATTAAAATTTAGGCTAATACTAAGTTTTCTCTTGTGGAATTTCAAAAACACAAACCTGTCGTTCTGCTTGTGATAATTTCGCTATCGACATCACTCGCTAGAGATTGATGAACATTTTTCTGAAGATTTCTCTCTTTCCGGTGCGGATGAGCGTGATGAATACGACTCGTTATCTGAAAGAATTAAAAAAAAGAAAGAAATTTTAATATAAAATTCCATTTAATTTTTTTTTCAAGACAAAAAAAAAGTTTAAAAAATGAAGAATTAAGATGGATGATTATTTTAATTTCTAAATAGGAATGTGTGTCTGTATACTGTATACTGTATATAGGCCTATATATAACTTTCAAGCTCAATTTTGTTCGTGCAGAGAGAAAATTGTAAAGCTAGTTTAAGTCAATTGAGATCACAACAATTACCTTCTTTATTCGTGATATCTTATGACAAGTCACGTCACGATGACACAATTAACCGTCGAGTTTACTGGAATGTATAGTCAGGTGTTCAACACCTTTGAACTGAACAACATCATCACTTTCTTAGTTTGTACAGGTTATTACTTTAATATTAATGAACGAAATATTATTCGAATACCGTAAATCGTATGCGTAATGTTATAATATAACTGTACAATAAATTTAGCGTAAAACTTATTTATTTAGTCAGTGTATTTAGTTAAAAACTTAATTATCTAATTATAAATTTCAGAAAGTTATTTATTTTCTGCAAAAATTATATGCAGAAACAGAAATAATCTTTCTGTAAAAAGTATTTATGCTTATTTTCGTAAAAGTTTTGGCCAGAAAAAAAAATTAACCATCGTAAAAATATGATATTGATGGGTTGCA